GTACAACTGAAGAAAAAGAAATATGAAATCATCCATATATCCTAACACCTCCTTCCCTACAACAGATGAGCGCATCATCTGCTCATCGACCAAAAAAAGCTTATGAGAAGATAAACAACAAAACAAAACTTGCACAAATGTAAGGAAGATAAAACGCACGAAGAAAAATGAAACCGCCCAATAGAGAAACAAAATGTGTTCATCCATATTCGACGATCGATTCGTGTTGATATTGTAAGTTCTGACATTCGTAATAAACGTGAATGAATCATAAACTGCCACCTGTAAGTAATGATTCCATGAAGATCCATGAATATTCTCATCGAAAGCAAAATAATTCGATGATCATAGTAGAATTGGTGAAGAAAAAAAAATCGATCGCATACAAGTATGATAAGGAATAGAAAAGACTTGTTGACGACCAGTTAAAACTGTGATTTCAGATATAACGAATAAACCAGAATAAAAACCATGTGTGAAACCATTTATTGCCCGCTCCATATCTATGCCAGACGACATTAATAAAAATTAGAAGTCGACTCGCGTGGTAAGAATTATGTAGTTCAAATTCCATAATATATGTTTGTGATGAACCACGGTTGATCCTATAACAAGATTCGCCGTAGATTGTAGTTGACTTTTTGTGTGTTGAATCATTAAGATCATAAGAATAAGGATAGCGTTATTTGTTTGTATATGACGTTGATTATTATCATGTTTATTTGTTGTCACTGTTGTTGATAAAGTTTGTTTGCTTGATTCGATGGTCGATTCAAATATATGTCGAGACGATGAAAGACATTGACCAAAATATTGAATGTTATTAAGTAATTGACTTCCATCACGTTTTGATTGAAGACGTTCATCTAATTGTGAAAATGTAGAATCATTTCTTTCTTTAGTTTCATCAAGTTCTGTGCGCAATGCATCGATTTGAATATGTTTTTCTGCAAGTTTACTATATAGAGATTCTTCATATTGATGTTGTTCGGATATTTTTTCTTGTTCAAGTCGTTCAATTTCTTGCCTAAATTTATTCTTTTGAGATTGATATTGAATTTGTAAATGATCAATTTGTTTTTTATATTCTTCAATTTCTTTAGTTAATTGTTGTTGTAAATCATTATATTCATGTTCTTTTTGTTGATTTAAATCAATTGTTTGTTTTAATTGATAGATTTCTTTTTCAAATTGTTCATTATCAGTTTCAAGTTGTGCAATGCGACGTTTATATTGATCGATTTCATGTAAATATGTTTGACTTTCATTTAATTGTTCATGAAGTATTTCTTCGAAACGTTTTAAGTCTTTTTCCACATTTGGAAGAGACTGTGCTAATTGTTCATTATATCGAATTAAAGCTTCTTTTTCTTTTTGGGCTTCTTTAGCTAATAATTCATTACGATGTGCTTGTTTTTCCAAATTAGCATTATCAATTGATAATTTTTTAATTTGTTCACCTAATACTTGGATTTTAACATTTGTTGAAGCTCCAGTATTAATTAAATGAATATTTTCTTCTGTAAGACGTTTTAATTGTAATTCAAGTGTTTGAATATATTCTTGTTGTTGAAGTTGATTTACTTGTGTTGGTTCATGTTTATGTTGAACAGAATGTAATTGAGCATGAAGAATTTGAGCTGATTCCGTTTTATTTTTATTACGTTGACGAGCTTTCGATGATGGTTCAACAACTGGTTGTTGTGGATTTAACTGTGTTGAATCTTCTTTATTGGAACATCTAGGACAAATGAATGTTTCTAATTGCAGCTGGATCTTCTCCTCAATTGCTGCATGTAAGCAGCTAATACAAATTGTATGCGAACATGCGGTAATTGTATAATGATACCTGTATATACAATCAAAACAAGACGTGTTTGATTGATCGATCCGGTGAGTCATACTGCTTTGGTGATAAATTCGACGATTGGCGTAATTTTCTTTTTTTCTAAATGCTTCTTCGTCTTCTTCTTCGATGGTAAAAGTGAAGAAATTTGGACACGGCACCAAATGTTGATTAATAATAAGGCTATTGTCGGGTCCGTTAGTTTGTCGAAGATTGTAAGTCGATAAACTTGGCTAGTGCACCAGTTAGAATGTTAGCTTGCCTTTTCTTTATTGGAAAAACACGAAGT